GTGATTTACAGTAATTTTGTTAAATTATACGAATATTCTCGTTGATTATTGGTTTAAAATAAATTTGACAATGTCTTCCAATGAAAATGCGTGTTACTAACCCTAAACCCTAATAATTCTAAGCTGCTTAACTCTATTAGTTCTAATTCAGATCTAGCAAATGAGCTAGATGCTTTACCTAGACTGTTATTCAGAAGCTACAAACCTATCGATGAAAATATGCTCATGCATATTTTTTTACACCAATCACGATCAGAGTATATTGGTACACAGGTACCTGATCAGGTTGAATCAAATGTTTTTGGTGTTTGCGCTATTGTGCGATCCTTACCTCTTTTATTCTCGCCAGCTCGTGTGTCAAGGCCGTGTCGTGTCAAAGCCGTGGAGTGTCAAAGCCGGCTTGTCGTGTCAAAGCCGGCTTTGAATTTTTACTCCCATCGCGCGTAAAGAAGTTTCACTTCCAAAATTAAAACAGTCCTAAAAGTATGAAATTTTGCACAGAAGTCTCAGAAGCAATTTATGGAAATCCATCCCCTAAGAGGGTGAAATTAGGGGTGAATGTTTGTACAAAAATTTGTTAAAATCGGCTCTAGAAGCCTGAAATTTTGCACAGAGGTTTCTTAGGTGACTTAATTTACCAGTTAGGAATGATTTTTAGAAATTCATCCCCTATGGGGGTGAAATGAGGGGTTAATGTCTCATACCCAGAATCAAGGATATAGTACATCGACCAGCCTCCTCTGACCAATCCATAGATTCCCGAGGCACTGTTGCAGTACTCTGGATATGATAAAAAAACGAGTGCCTACCGAGGGAGAGTTCCGTACAAATTTGCCGGTTCATAGGACACTTTTTTTACTCTTCGTCATAAATCGAAAACTATTCATCATAAAATTATATTAAAAATCTGTTTAAGTTGGTATATGGTCTTAATTTCAACTCGATACCTTCACGCATTTCCGAGATAAATGGTTTTGACAGACAGATAGCCCGACGAACGGACAGACAACAAAGTAATCCTATAAAGGTTCCGTTTTCCTTTTGAGGTACAGAATCCTAAAAATGTACCAAATCGTGTACAATATACACAACAACCCTATCCTAGAGAAAGTAACGGACCCACGCCACGGTTTAGTTCTGGTACTTATCTATCTCGCAATTACTTTTAATAGAAATAACTTCGGTTAGGATGCGAGAGAGGCGCTATCGCTTTCCTTCGTTAAGTTTTTTGTCTAATTAAAATGGTAAAACCGCCGCGTCGTTTGTAGGACGGTCGTTATTTTTTCAATGCCACAGTAAAATGTTGTTAGCCCTAGGGCTAGCCAGGAAATGAATCTGATTGCGGGGCTTTCGTTTCAAACCAAGGCACTTGAATGTCTATTGTTATGTAAAAATATAGGTTTTGTGTGTGTAATACGTACGTTTTGATATTGTTCTGATGCTGCACGTCAAATTTGAAACATCACCTTTTCAGAGACATCGAAGTTTTCACCAAGCTTTTATTTAACTTGTCTCAGTATACCGACTGTTTTTTAAAAGTGGATCACCCCTATAGTGTACCACCACAGATAACATACTGGTACCACATACTATTACGTTACATTAGCGTTACGTTACACTTAGGTGAAACACCTGGTATGTCTCGACTTATTTTTCAAGAGGTTGCATATAAAATATATTAATAATGTCCAAAATAGTTTCGATCTAGCAACATTGTATATTGAATAGGCACACGATTAATGTAACTTCAATGACATTACTAGATAGAAAATCAAAAGGCAGACGCTTAAATTGCCTCGGACTGCTAGAAATATTAAAATCTGTAAAAAACGTCAATAATGTAAATGAGCAGGAAGAATTTTTGAATGCATATTTTATTGCTCTTGTTGTAAACCCTCTATATCAAATAATTTTCGTTGTGCGAGGGTTGTCTTTTAAATTGACCAAACATAACACCTGACGAGCCTAGATCTCAACTCAAGGTCCAATCTGGCGTTCTGGAAAATGTTCTTCATTTTTAAAAATGCATTTCTGGCTTGTTCTATTCTGGTTTTTATTTCCACGTCGTTGTTCAAGGGGTTAACTATCCAGGACCCCAAATATTTGAACTTGTAGACCTGTTCTAAGATATTTCCCTCTATTTTATTGGGAATTGGTACATTTTGGTTTTTTCAAATACCATGACTTTGATTTTTGAGAAATTGATCTTCATCTCGTATTTCTTACAAGAGCTCCTCTAAACTCTGGAGTCCAATATCAGAGCCGGCAATAAGAACTCTGTCATCGGCAAATCTAATGTTGTTAATGACTTCACCGTTGACTTTTATACCGCAATCTCTCTGTTGAAGAGAAAGCTTTCCGAAAAATCGCCTCAGAATAAACATTAAACAGCGAAGGAGACGGCACACGTCCCTGTCTTACTCCCCTCTGTATATTGACTGGATTGGAATTGTCATTTTCAACTTTCATGGGGGCTGTTTGTTGCCAATATATATTTTCAGAAGTGTTACATCTTTGCTGTCAACAGTGTCAACTCCCAACTCATATAACATTTCGATAAGTCTCGTGACTTTGACTCTGTCGAATGGTTCTTCGATATCTACAAAACACACATACATCGGTTTTTGTTGGCCTGTACACTTCTGCGCCATCAGTTGTATACAGAATAAGGCTTCTCGTGTTCCCAATCCACTCTTAAACGCAAACTGTTCATAGCCGCTTTTTTATGACTGCTACTGCAACATATCTATTGGGTGATACGTTAGATTAAGAATAAAGTGATACCCTTTTACTAGCTTCATAATACACTGTTTCAGTTGCGAAATTAGGTCAGGTGCGGAAAACGGAGGTGCTCTTTCACGTTTCTTTCCATTTCGAACTACGCCCAATCTGGGTGATTTAATGGGCACGGACCCATTCACATACTGTTTTTCCCCGCACGCGACGTCTACCGGCCATTTATCTTGTCGAACAATGTACCGATAGGTCGGACTCTAATTGAGTTCAAGTATAGCGAATAATAAACAAATTAAGTCCTATTTTCAACATTACCGCATACGAAACAATGGTTATATAATAGTGCATACTTGCACTGGATAAAATGAACGGAGTGTAGCAACTATATGCTCGTCAATTGGTAATTTTTGCAAGCTTATAGTTTTTATGTATTTTAAAGTTCGATATAAACTAATCAAAACGAATTATGGATCACATATATGTGTATCTGTATTTACTATATTTATAAACCATCATATAAGAACAATTTCGTTTATTTTCATGCATAAATTTATACAAAAACGAAATGATTTCCGGTCATAAAAAATAACAATAAAGACGCACTCGAAAACGCATACATTCCATAAAATCAGTTCTTATTTAGTGAGATCGTCAAAATTGGTGTTAAATATGGCAAATGTTAATGTTTTGGGAAGACCAAAGGGTGTTAGAAGGGGTTTAAATACTGAAAAAGTTATCAAAGCCACAACTTTATTGCAAGAAGGTCGGTCGCAACGATACGGGTCGCACCTTTTTCATGTTACACAATCGGTCATTTCCAGACAATGGAATCGACATAAAGAATATGGTTTTGTTGTCCGCAGACCATATTCTCAACGACTATGGAGGACAACGAGGCGGGAAGATCGGTATCTTGTTCAAGATACCTACCTTCCTGAAAGAACACTTACCGCAAGAAACCTACAAAATATTCTTACGATCGCCAGAGGAACTCGAATTTCAATTCAGATTATAAGAAATAGGCTGCATGAAGTTAATATTTGGTCAAGCCGAGCAGTTGTTGTGGCGCATTTAACTTCTAATCATCCTAGGGCACAAAGGATATTTGCTCAAGAACATCTTCACTGAGGCATGGATCAGTGGAGGCACGTCTTTTTTACAGACTAGTCCTGTCATAATGATGTCATAATGATGCCCGGCGGAGAATTTACAGAATAGAAGAATTTACAGAAGACCGAATGAACGGTATCTGGACACAACAGTCAGAGAAGCGATTCATTTTGGTGGAGGTTCCGTCATAGTATGGGGAGGTATAACTTTAAATGGGCGTACGGACTTGCATGTGTTTCTACACGGCATAATTAATCCTGAACTATACAGAGATGAGATTCTTGAACTCAATGTTATTCCATTTGCTGCTCAGCATGGTCCAGAATTCATCTTACAACAAATCTGAGAGAAAGTTGATCTCTACCGTGTTCAATTAAAGCAACAATAGGGCGATACAACTTTTGAACTTAAAACCATCTCTACTAGAGTAACTGCCAATATACAATAATAATATGACTTTTCATAGATGTGTTAATGAGGACCAAAACAAAGACATGCGTTGAATGCTAAAATTGTTGTAAATCCTTACTGTCTTCTTCAAAAGCGAATATCTCCGATATAAGGAAAGCCTATTGACATGACTCAAAAAACTGTTGAGAAAAGACGCACCTTGACTATGAAGTGGTTTTTAAATTCCTTACTTTGTTGAGCCATTTCACAAGGTGTTTAAAACTTTTGCCAAAATACCATTGTACGACTGTTGAGTGATTTGTATGGTAGAAACAAAAAATCCTATTAGAATTAGAATCCTTTTAGCATTCATAGTCAAACCCAACTTTTTGATGAATGAATAAGTGTTTTACGGAAAAATGAAACGTTGATATTAATATTCTATAAAATTTTTGATTGTTTTTTCGACAAATGTAGGCAACTTTATAGATTTCCAAAAAAAATAATTAATTTGAGCTCTGAAAATTGCCACAAATATCTACTAATGTGAAAGGCCAAAGAAACTATTTTTGAAACTATGCTTTTTAAAATTCTACAAAAAATGCCATTTGGACTATATGATGAAGACGTTGTCTCATAATAATATATTGTAATGCATGTTGAAAGTAAAGAACAAAGCAACAAAATTCTGCTGGCTCCTTTTATGATGAAAGACCTTTTATTAATAATCTTCATTAATAATGAGTATTTTTCTTTCTTTTCAGAAAAATTATTGACATCCGAAGGAAGAGAACTCAGAAGGGCCCTGTTCTCCCTGAAACAAATCTTTCAAGAAGACAAAGATCTCGTCCACGAATTTGTCCAGAACGATGGCCTGTCCTGTCTCATTAAGGTCGGATCCGAGGCGGATCAGAACTACCAGAACTACATACTCAGAGCCTTGGGACAGGTGATGCTCTACGTAGACGGCATGAATGGTAAGAATAAAATCATTTTAATAATAATTGTTATACAGGGTGGTCCGAACTGTATTCCGGAAACTTCAGCAGCATATTTTGCAGATAAAAATAAGTAAAAAAGTTCGTATAAATGTATGTCCTAAAATGCATAGTTTTGGAGACACAGGGTGTAGAAGTTTCATTTTTATTTCGATTTTTTCCAAATAATTTCTGAAGTAACGTCAATATTTGGATGAACATTAGTGTCTGGGAGTTTTTTGACATGAGAAATTTGATTATGATATTAATACGACTCCTATTTGTAGTGGGCGCCACCTTCAAGCGCTTTAACTGATTTGAAGAGTAATAACTTTTCGTCCATACCTGTATAAAACTACTGAGTGAAAAAAAATACATTTCTGTGATTTTTTACGTAAAATCTCTCTTAATATATCTCTTGGTAAAAATCGCTACAAGCAACCGTTCTCAAGATATTTAGAGTGGAAATAGTCAATGCATGTCATTATTGACAAAAAATAAACATGTTGAGTATATTATAGTTATTTGACTGAATTGAAAATTCAACTGGGAACTTTTTATTTTTTTTAATTAATCATATTTTTTCGTAATATTTGATGATTTCAGTCTAATAACTATTTAGTCAACATGTTTAATTTATATCAATGATGACAGGTATTGATAATTTCGGTTCCAAATGTCTCGAGAACCATTACTCCTAATGATTTTTACCAAGAGACCTTTTTTACGAAAAAACTTCATATATGTATATTTTTTTACATAGTAGTTTTATACAGGTACAGACGAAAAATTATTATTCTTCAAACCAGTTAAAAAATATGTAGGTGTCGCCCTCTACAAGTAGGAATCATCAAATTGAAATTTCTTATGTCAAAAAACTCCCAGATTTTCATCCAAATATTGATGTTACTTCAGAAATTATTTGAAAAAATCGAATTAACTAACTAAGCATTTTAGAACATACAAATTTATACGAGCTTTTTTACTTATTTTTATCTGCAGAATATGCTGCCGAAGTTTCCAGAATACTGTTTGGACCACCCTGTATATATCATACTGTATAGTAAAACATACCTTTACATACTTGATTTCAGTCTGGAAAATAAGATTTTACACTAATAAGCCCGGTATTTTTTTTACAGAACGTATTTTGTCATCATTTACAGCATTTAAAAGCAAATTATTTTTCATACTGGTCAAGCTTAATCACGTGATTAAAAGTTTATTATTTGGTATGATCTATAAAATGTTTTATTTCTTAATTTCATTTGGATAAAACTTATGTTTTTAAATAATGAAACATTCATTTATTCTCTAATTTATTTGAATTTTATTTTGTTTTTTTTAGGGTTCCGTACCCAAAGGGTAAAAACGGGAACCCTATTACTAAGACTTCGCTGTCCGTCCGTCCGTCTGTCACAAAGGTCTATCTTATGAACCGTTATAGCTGGACAGTTGAAATTTTTACAGATAATGTATCTATGTTGCCGCTATAAGAACAAATACTAAAAACAGAATTAAATAAATGTTTATAAATAAAAAAATACTGTCACTAAACATTATCTTTTAAGTAAGGATTTTACACAGAATCTTTCAAGTCCTCGCTGGCCGCGTGGTTCAAGCGTTAGGACCATAGACTTAAAATAAAATATAGACTACACTATTTACATCTCAACGCGGACAAACAACCTTTTTTGTACACATGTTTACTTCTGGGTACAGTCGACCGAGCCTTCCTCATCCAGCCTATGTTGTCACGTCTTTAATATTATCAATATTTTTTTTCTTGTTATACACATATATTGAGATATTAATACTACAGTTTAATAAAGTAGGTTTTAATATTCCAGAGATGTATTAAATAGTCCTTATACTACTAAATTATAAGTCGGATACTGTTTAAAAAGGATAAGTTCTTTACAATATGACAACACCGATTAGAGGCGAGGGAGCCTATTCATTCATTTATTACCTTGTAGTACGTGTCGCACGTGTGCGGTAAAGCTTTGTTGCCGCTATCTCCCCGGCTGTATTAACGCATTTTCTTAGCTTGTAGTGCTTAAGTGTTTATTTTATTGACTTTTTCTGTTCAAGAACTATAAAATATGGTTCGCCAGTGCCAAATTTGCAAGAAATTTGACTTAAATAATCCATTTAAGTCTTGAAACGACTTTTGACCGGTAGGCAACTCTCAATTTACCCATTGGGAGTCAGTGGCGTTGTTGTAGAAAGGCGCTTATTTAGATAATATTTTAGTAAAATGTAAAATCTGAATTTTTTCTCTTACATTACATTATTTACTTACTTACATTGTAACAAAATCATAATTATAACCCTGTTAATAATTAATAATGTTTTTATTAAAAATATATTCCGGTTTATTCTAAAATTATCTTCAGAATCTAAAATAACATACAAGAATTTTAAAATGATATTACATTAGAAACAATATTTTTAATATAGCTGGGTCATCTCAAAGTGGCTCACCCCTATAACTTTTTTTTATTTTTCAGATAAAAAAACAGATTTGTATGTTAGTAGGTATATGACATAAATTAGATTTATTGATGTATTCAATTGTTTTTGGTCTCTTCCTGTTTCACCGAAATGATTACATCTTTTGATTTTTTAAAGGCACCCTCGGTATATTGCTACTTTATTCGATAAAAATGACACTCTGAATAGAATGACATATCATATGTCAACTTTTGACATTGTCGCTTAAAAACATATCCTATTTTAAATTTCAATCCAGTTTTTTTCAATCCACTAAGTTTTAATCAAGTAGCCTTGGAAAATAGTTTTGATCGTCTAATAGGTTTCGTGTCTTGTCTAGGCCGGTTAAAAGATGTACAAATCGTATTTTTAATCATACATATGTCAATTTTTTTCAAATGGAACAAGGGTGACTCATTAGCATATTTGGAAAAAGCATTTTTTTATGAATATATTGATACCACACACTTGGTATTTCGAGTCAAATTGTCGTTATGAACCGCGTGTTACAATTACAATTAAACCATATGCGAAAATGTCAAAAGTTGACATATGATATTTCATTCTATTCAGAGTGTCATTTTCTATCGAATAAAGTAGAAATATACCGAGGGTGCCGTTTAAAAATTAAAAGTTATAGTCATTTCCGGTGACACAGGAAGTGACCAAAAACAATTGAATGCGTCAATCAATCCTAATTTATTTCATATACTAACATACTAAATCTTGTTTTTTTATTTGAAAATATAAAAAAATTATGGGGATGAGCCACTTTTGAGCCGCACCCGGTATAATAAAGACAGTACCGAGTTAAATAAATGTAGTTTTTATTTTATCCACTTCCTATCACCTTCCTTGCTTTAATGGAACAGATTTATGTTTTCTCTAATTTACATAATAAGACATCACTTAACTAGAAAAAAAATTACAACAATCATTTTTTTTTCTCTCCCTGTCGCCGATTCTATTATATCTGTGGAATAGATCCGGTTTTGATTAATATTAGGGGTTGTAAATGTTTGACTAAAATTAATAATTTATTATTAATTTCAAAAATTACGTAATTTCGATTATAAAATTTCTTCTATAACGTGTATTTTATTATGTTTATCCTTTTCGGACTCTAAGACGTTTTTTCTAAACTTTTATGTAAAAAACCTGTCCTAAATCTTAATAAAATATAAAAACGTTTAAATACGATATATTTTTAATTTACTTATAGCTTCATTAAAATAAAAAAATTACCCGGCTATGATACGGAGAGTTCAGGTGTACTTGAGAAACGAAAGACAGTGTTGTGTTTCTCGGCAGAGTCGTCAGGGAACGACCGTTACGACAGAGACAACCTATCTATCACTCGTGTCGCACTCGTTATAACCTAAAACAATAACAAGACAGTGTCTGACCGCATGTTCCAGCTATTTATGAATGAGATGCTCAGTCTATATTTTATTTTAAGTCTATGTACTGTATAGTAAAACATACCTTTACATACTTGATTTCAGTCTGGAAAATAAGATTTTACACTAATAAGTCCGGTATTTTTTTTACAGGACGTATTTTGTCATCATTTACAGCATTTAAAAGCAAATTATTTTTCATACTGGTCAAGCTTAATCACGTGATTAAAAGTTTATTATTTGGTATGATCTATAAAATGTTTTATTTCTTAATTTCATTTGGATAAAACTTATGTTTTTAAATAATGAAACATTCATTTATTCTCTAATTTATTTGAATTTTATTTTGTTTTTTTTAGGGTTCCGTACCCAAAGGGTAAAAACGGGAACCCTATTACTAAGACTTCGCTGTCCGTCCGTCCGTCTGTCACAAAGGTCTATCTTATGAACCGTTATAGCTGGACAGTTGAAATTTTTACAGATAATGTATCTATGTTGCCGCTATAAGAACAAATACTAAAAACAGAATTAAATAAATGTTTATAAATAAAAAATACTGTCACTAAACATTATCTTTTTAAGTAAGAATTTTACACAGAATCTTTCAAGTCCTCGCTGGCCGCGTGGTTCAAGCGTTAGGACCATAGACTTAAAATAAAATATAGACTACACTATTTACATCTCAACGCGGACAAACAACCTTTTTTGTACACATGTTTACTTCTAGGTACAGTCGACCGAGCCTTCCTCATCCAGCCTATGTTGTCACGTCTTTAATATTATCAATATTTTTTTTCTTGTTATACACATAATATATTGAGATATTAATACTACTGTTTAATAAAGTAGGTTTTAATATTTCATAGATGTATTAAATAGTCCTTATACTACTAAATTATAAGTCGGATACTGTTTAATAAGGATAAGTTCTTTACAATATGACAACACCGATTAGACGCGAGGGAGCCTATTCATTCATTTATTGCCTTGTAGTACGTGTCGCACGTGTGCGGTAAAGCTTTGTTGCCGCTATCTCCCCGGCTGTATTAACGCATTTTCTTAGCTTGTAGTCCTTAAGTGTTTATTTTATTGACTTTTTCTGTTCAAGAACTATAAAATATGGTTCGCCAGTGCCAAATTTGCAAGAAATTTGACTTAAATAATCCATTTAATGTCTTGAAACGACTTTCGACCGGTAGGCAACTCTCAATTTACCCATTAGGAGTCAGTGGCGTTGTTGTAGAAAGGCGCTTATTTAGATACATTACTTAGTAAAATGTAAAATCTGATTTTTTTCTCTTACATTACATTATTTACTTACTTACATTGTAACAAAATCATAATTATAACCCTGTTAATAATTAATAATGTTTTTTTTTTAAATATATTCCGGTTTATTCTAAAATTATCTTCAGAATCTAAAATAACATACAAGAATTTTAAAATGATATTACATTATGAAACAATATTTTTTAATATACCGGGTGTCTCAAAAGTGGCTCACCCCTATAACTTTTTTTATTTTTTTCAGATAAAAAACAGATTTGTATGTTAGTAGGTATATGACATAAATTAGATTTATTGATGTATTCAATTGTTTTTGGTCTCTTCCTGTTTCACCGAAATGATTACATCTTTTGATTTTTAAAGGCACCCTCGGTATATTGCTACTTTATTCGATAAAAAATGACACTCTGAATAGAATGACATATCATATGTCAACTTTTGACATTGTCGCTTAAAAACATATCCTATTTTAAATTTCAATCCAGTTTTTTTCAATCCACTAAGTTTTAATCAAGGAGCCTTGGAAAAATAGTTTTGATTGTCTAATAGGTTTCGTGTCTTATCTAGGCCGGTTAAAAGATGTACAAATCGTATTTTTAATCATACATATGTCAATTTTTTCAAATGGAACAAGGATGACTCATTAGCATATTTGGAAAAAGCATTTTTTTATGAATATATTGATACCACACACTTGGTATTTCGAGTCAAATTGTCGTTATGAACCGCGTGTTACAATTACAATTAAACCATATGCGAAAATGTCAAAAGTTGACATATGGTATGTCATTCTATTCAGAGTGTCATTTTCTATCGAATAAAGTAGAAATATACCGAGGGTGCCGTTTAAAAATTAAAAGTTATAGTCATTTCCGGTGAAACAGGAAGTGACCAAAAACAATTGAATGCGCCAATCAATCCTAATTTATTTCATATACTAACATACTAAATCTTGTTTTTTTATTTGAAAATATAAAAATTATGGGGATGAGCCACTTTTGAGACGCACCCGGTATAATAAAGACAGTACCGAGTTAAATAAATGTAGTTTTTATTTTATCCACTTCCTATCACCTTCCTTGCTTTAATGGAACAGATATTATGTTTTCTCTAATTTACATAATAAGACATTACTTAACCAGAAAAAAAATTACAACAATCATATTTTTTTTTCTCTCCCTGTCGCCGATTCTATTATATCTGTGGAATAGATCTTGTTTTGATTAATATTAGGGGTTGTAAATGTTTGACTAAAATTAATAATTTATTATTAATTTCAAAAATTACCTAATTTCGATTATAAAATTTCTTCTATAACGTGTATTTTATTATTTTTATCCTTTTTGGACTCTAAATTGTTTTTTCTAAACTTTTATTTAAAAACCTGTCCTAAATCTTAATAAAATATAAAAAAGTTTAAATACGATATATTTTTAATTTAATTATAGCTTCATTAGAATAAAAAAAAAATTACCCGGCTATGATACGAGAGTTCAAGTGTACTTGAGAAACGAAAGACAGTGTTGTGTTTCTCGGCAGAGTCGTCAGGGAACGACCGTTACGACAGAGACAACCTATCTATCGCTCGTGTCGCACTCGTTATAACCTAAAACAATAACACAACAATAACAAGACAGTGTCTGACCGCATGTTCCAGCTATTTATGAATGAGATGCTCAGTCTATATTTTATTTTAAGTCTATGGTTAGGACTTTACGCTGCTATGACGTTGGAGCCGTAGTAAGACAGGTTCGAATTCTAGTCAAGGCGACTTTTTTTAATCGTTTTTTTTAATTTTTACATATTTATTATTGATTAATACAATTTTTAGTAATGCGTTACTTATACGCGCATTCAAAATTTCATCTAAATCGGAAAAAAAGTTTATAATAATATTGTGTCTAATGTTGTATAGATAATGAATGGTACGGAACCCTACGTACGCGAGTCCGACTCGCACTTGACGAATTTTGTTTAATTTTTTATTAATGTTCTTTTATTTTTTTAGGTGTCATGGAACATAACCAAACGATTCAGTGGCTGTACAGTTTGATATCATCCAAATTTCGCCTAGTAGTGAAAACCGCATTGAAGTTACTGCTAGTTTTCGTTGAATATACAGATTCGAACTGTATGCTTCTTGTGAAAGCCATTCATACGGTGGATTATACTCAAGGATTATTTCCCTACCACAACATCATGAAACTTCTTAAGGATTTTGATTCTGCCGATACAGAGTTACTAATCTATGCCACCACTTTAATAAATAAGGTATTATTCACACTGCTCTTTATGGCATTGCAAATATATTAATTACATTTATTTTTATAAAGATTTTGAATGCTGTGCCTGACCAAGATACGTACTACGATCAAGTGGATGCTCTGGAAGAACAGGGTATCGAGTCTATTATCCAAAGATACATGTCGAAACCTGGCACTGATTTGGACTTGTTGCAACAATTCCAAATATACGAGGCTGTGTTACAGTTTGAGGATGGTGAAGAGAAAGGTGGATGTACTCCTATTAGACACTTAGGTAACTTAACTTATATTGATAAATGATACACTAAGTATATACTGAACATTTATTTCCATTTTGTACCATCTACATATATTACAATGATGATTACGTCATTATAAAAGGTAAGGTTATTATTCTACTGTTGAACTTTTTGTTACTTTTCTCAGATGAAAACATCAGAAAAACTTTACGGTCAAGGAAATCTATGACCGATAATTCGGAAAGACGAAAAAGCAGAAGACATTCGACTGGCACTGCTCCTCTATACGGTGGCCTCATTCCTAGAAACAATAACCACATCTTGCCAGAAGACTTCGACGAATCGTCTAGCTCCAACTCCGGCTTGAACTCATCGCAATGGAACGGAAGCTATAAAGATAGTAACAAAGGTAAGATACTTTTATTATTAACTACTAAATTGCCCATATCATTATAATAAATATAATTGTTTTATACAAAGCGAATAATAATGATTTAAATAGTTGGCAATACTGTCGCGACCTTGGATTATATATGGTTGCGACTAGAGACGTTCAGGTTAAACATTATTTTTAAGAAATGTGTTTTTATTAATTATCATCATCATCATTTTCAACTTATTAAACCATTTCCAATCATGGTATAGCCTCCCTCACATACTCTCTTTATAGTTGGACCCATTGTTGTCTATTATTGTTGGCTATGCGGGTCCAAGTTGTCCCTACTAAATTCCTAATATCATGGTCCCATCTCAGTTTGGTCTTCTTCTAGGTCTCTTAATTCTTCGTGGGTACCATGCTTGCATTGTTGTTGTCCGTCCTTCTTGCCAGGTGTCCTGCCCATTGCCATTTGAGGGATTTGACTCTGTGGATGACATCTATTATCTGGATCTTTTGTCGTAACCACTCTATTCTTTTACGGTCTCTCTTCGTTATTCTCAGCATATTTCGTTCCACTGGGCGTTGTGCGACCTGCAGTTTCCTTATGACGAACGTTTTAAGTGTCTAGGTCTCGCATGCTTAGGTCATGACTGGTAGTACACATTGTTCGAATGTTTTCTTCTTTAGATAAAGCGTGGCATTCTAGACTTGAATATGATTGAGTTTCTTCCATAAGCATGCTAACTTAAATCTTCTGTTGATTTCTAGTAGTAGGGATCCCAGCTGTGTATCAGTTGTCCCAAATATATTCTTCTACTATTTCCAGTGTTGTGTTATTTATTAGAATGTCTTTTCTTTCCACTAGTTCGTTGTACATTACTTTAGTTTTTGCTAAATTCATTTTGAGACCTACTTTATTGCTGGCTGTATTTAGTTCGTTAATTTGTGCTTGTAGTTCTTCAGGACTATTGACAATTAGCACTATGTCATCAGCCAATCTTAGATGGTTAAGATATTCCCCATCTATTTTTAATCCTTTGTTGATCCAGTCCAGTTGACGGAAAATTTATTTTTATTAATTATCGTAGTAGAATAATAAAATATAGAATAAATTAATTTATGAACACAGTTGGGAAATTTCCAAGGTTTGTGTGTACAGAAGCTGAGTACTTGCAATAATCTGAACATCGCTGACTTTTTTTAAGATTGTCTTCAGGACTAATTTTAAGACTTGCTATATGACTGCAACTATCTGATTCTGAAACTATCTTCAAGGGCTGCCCATAAAACTATAGACTACCCACGCTCTCTTCTGTATACTCTTTTTCTATCCGTCTCGTCGATCGATGATTTGAAATGAGATGTTTTAGGAATAAATGTAATAACAGTCATTACCCATACCTAACAAGAGACCGAAGAAAAATGCAGCATACGTTTTTACGGTTCCGTACCCAAAGGGTAAAACGGGAACCCTATTACTAAGACTTCGCTGTCCGTCCGTCTGTCACAAAACTCTATCTTATGAACCGTTATAGCTTTAACGGTTCATAAAAGTTTCAACTGTCTAGCTGATAGTTGAAATTTTTACAGATAATGTATCTATGTTGCCGCTATAAGAACAAATACTAAAAACAGAATTAAATAAATGTTTATAAATAAAAAAGTACTTTCACTAAACATTATCTAGGTAAGTTATAATACATTATCTAGGTTATCTAAGTAAGAATTTTACATAGAATCTTTCAAGTCCTCGGTGGCCGCGTGGTTTAAAGCGTTAGGACTTTACGCTACACGCTACTATGATGTTGGAGCCGTAGTAAGGCAGGCTCGAATCCTAGTCAAGGCGACTTTTTTTTAATCTTTTTTTTTTAATTTTCGCGCATTCAAAATTTCAGCTAAATCGGAAAAAACGTTTATAATAATATAGTGTCTAATGTTGTATTATATATATAATGAATGGTACGGAACCCTTTGTGCGCGAGTCCGACTTGCACTTGACCAAATTTTTCTTCACAATGGAATACATAATTTTATGTTTTAATTGTGTTATAAGTAAATTAAAATGTTTTAATTATTTTTATCAGGAGTTTTGATTGGCGTTGTTGACAGGTGACTAGTTCGAAATTTCTACACAGATAGCGTTAAATTGAAACATTTTGGAAACAAGGTTTTTATTTATTGTCGGATTCATTTTGGAAACACGAGTTTCTCTCTTGTTTGTGGCCGACTCCATGTCAATTTTATAAAATAATGAATTAAAATTCCGCCATGTTGGCTAGTGATAGCGTTTTTAACTAGAAATATATGTTTTTATCGGCTGTTGAGCTTTTAAACTCATAATAACGCGTTCTACTTACATTACTTTTTAAAAGTAAAAATCTTTATTTCAAACAGAGAATATTTTGTAGCAACAAATAATGATATATAGAAGGGGCATTAAAAATATAAAACTACATTATTAAATTAAACGATGAATTTGCTTTTGCAAGACATTTTTTATGCGAGAAAACCTAAAAACAAAGATCTTAAGACAAAAAAAATAATTTTGAAATCCACACACAGATATACAATACTATTTTAGTTTGGTATTTTGTTTCTTCACATTTAGAAACAGTGACTGCTGAAATCTTGGACACAAATTGCAGAAAATTTGAAACATTTCCTCTAAAAGTTTTGATTCCGCTTCGAAACATTTCAGGAAACGGCTAGTGCCATCACACTGGAAACTCATGTAATAAAGCCATATAAAATATATAGGTTTTGACAATATATTCTATTTGTGGCATACCGTTTCCATTTTGTGTCAAGAAACACACACAATTATTAGAAATATTACCTAAAATGTGTCTAAAAATGCTATTTAGCTAGCAACTGATATCCCTTGGGTTTACATCACATTGGCTTACTGAAATTATATTTTACATTATTTTTTTCCAAGGCAACAAGGCAGTATTATTGCTAACCAAACGAGCAAAATCAGAATTATCATCTATTTCAATCATTGTTAATCGCTTCGTATTTTAATCATTGTTATCTAATTTCCATCAAGTAACACACATATCGTTTTTAGCTTACCTTATAAGTTTTTAGTGTGTCGCATACAGAAAATAATAAAAAGTTTTTATTATCATTCTCTATGGTGTGTCGCTTTAGCTTACCCTTTTCTTTGCTCAGCTAACGACGCAGGCGTCACCCCCGCTTTGAAGCGGCGCCGCGAGAGGGCCGAGCGGCAGCGCAGCTTTATGCGCGAACAGCAGGAAACGGCCGCTTTGCTTAAGAGTGTGCAGGCGCATCAACAGCAAAATAACAACGAGGAGAACAACATTAACGTGCTTGCAGGAAACTATACGAACGCGCTGCAGCAGCGCCTGTCCAACGGCAACAAGATCTCGAACCGGAAGGACATGACGCCGTACCTGAACGCGATGAACAAGATGGACTCGGAGGAGAAGCAGCCGTGGATCATGTCGATGATCCAGAGTCAGGAGGGGTTGCAGGAGTCGGACATAGCGAATGAGAACGATAGGAATATTCTTTTGCAGTTGAAGAAAGATAATACCATTAAAGGTGAGAAGCATGTAATATCAAAAAAGTGGTGGGAGAATTTTGTATTTTTATGAAAACAAATCCAAAGCACCTTTTTACGTAGAATTTAATGGTTTAAGTCATATCCAAACCAAACCAAACATAATAATTTCAGAGTTATCAACTGAATTGATTTTTTATTAGGGACACCCTGTATATTTTTATTTAACTGAGAAGAACTTAAAATTACCTTTCCGAAAATATAGCACACTTGATATTTTGTTATAGCCCCTTCGAAATACAGAATTTTTGAAAGTTAGCCACTTTATATTAGTAGGCTTTGGACCCCTTATTGATGGTCTGTCCCTATTGGAACTCGAAAACATATTTTTCCAGCAAGACGAGGCACCGCTTCAGAACGATGAAGCTAATCAGCAAATTTTTGCAGCCAAGTTTGAGAATAATTGAATAGTTAACCAAGATCCCAACCGTTGGCCGTCGCGTCCGCCGGGCTTGGCGTCTATGGATTTTTATCTTTGCGGAAGAATAAAAGTTTTTATTTTAAATTGCCCGTATAATCTAGACAAGCATTAGAATTACTTAGCGATTATGTGAGGGTATCTTTCACTCCCACTGAGTTAATGAATTTCGCGAGAAATGTTCAAAAACGGCCCCGTCTGTCCATAATATAGAAGACGTTCAACATGTCGAACGCCTGTAGCAAAATCCATTTCTTGGTTTGCTATTTATTTTTATTGTTATTAGATATAGTTTAAATGTATTGATGTTGTCAAATATAGTTTAAATTGTTACAAAATTCTGAATTTCTCATTGCATATATTATTTCAGTTCTAGTTGCTGCTCACAGCTATAATTTTTTTGCATTACAGCTGGCGCCGTTCTAAAAAAAGTGGGCGAATTTTTAAAAACTCTATATCTCGAAGAGGAATCACGTAAAATATCAAGTATGTTATATTTTTGAAAAGGTAATTTTAAATTCTTTCCTATATAAAAGTGTCCTAAATAAAATATTCCTAGTGTCCCATATAAAAAATCAAATTTTCTGTTGATAATTATTAAATTATCAATTTTAAAAAAATTATACTTAAACCATTAAATTCTATGTAAAAAGGTGCTTTGAAAATGTTTTCATAAAAATACAAAATTTTCCATAGCAAAAAAGTTACAGCGATTTGTTAAAAATGCACATTTTTGAAAAACACACCGTAACTCCAAAACGGTAACAGATATCGATGTGCGGTTTTCACCATCATGTTTATAATAAAAACTGAGCTCCGGAAACCAGTATTAGTTTTCGTCTATTTCCTGTAGAAAAGGGTGTTTCCCTTTAAACGCGTCCAATTTGGCCCACCCTGTACACTTACACTAATAATGCTAAAAATATTTAATTTTTGAGTTCAACAATTCAAAATTAATACAATATTGTTGCAATATCTTATATTTTCGAATATATTGTTTCCAAAAGTTGTTTTCGTTAAAAAAATTACCGTCTCCCATCATCTTACCGCCCTAGGCAGCTGCCTTTCTTGCCTAATTGGTAAATCTTTACTACTCCTTTGTACTTCTAATACTTAAATTGTTACACTTCAACGGTGTGTTATTTTAATTTATTAATATACCCCCGAGGGGTGTCTCACTATTGGAATTACATGTACATTTTCTTGGCAGTCGCTGGCAGTCATTGGCAGTCTTATGGCAATCGCCTTTAATAATTACATGGCAGTCATAGGCAGTCTTCTTCATTGTCATTGGCAGTCGCTTAGCAGTGGAAGGATATTTTGGCAGTACGTGTACATTTTTTACCCGAATGAGACACCCCTCGTATACCCCACTAGCAAGCGAAATCTTGGGTCGGTGTTTACATGTCTAGGAGTGAATCGATATGGCGATCTAATAAGTAGAGAGAGCAAAAATGTATTTATTTACAGAACTACTTAATCCTACGCTAGATTTCATACGGTTGGGACAATACTTGCTCTTCTTTCTTTATTGAGTACATCTTATTTTACTGAGTCTATTGATTGTATTCTTCGTAAACACGAAAATCGGCACCCAAGGCCAGAAATGCCGGCCTGGTATAGTATTTTCTGTTATTCTTCGGACGTCGCGTCGTCCGTCAGAATATTCCATGGCTTGCTAAACAGACTTGCTGAATTCTGAATTTGTGTTTTTTCTTATTATTTTTGTGTGTGTCTTTTTTAGATATTACCCAAAAACTAGCAAACCAATCCATAGTCCAAAGCCCCACCGAAGAGATGAAAGTGAACCGACTAGGCGACATGAGCGGCCTGATCTCCAAAGCGAAAGAAGGCCTGGCCAAGTCCAAATCCAAAGCCGACGTCCTTAAAAACCCAACCAGCGAGAACATTTTGAAAATCGAACCGAAAAAATCCGAAAACGAACTGCGATGGGAGGAACTAGTGGCCAACCTCAACAGGCCGCTGAACCTCTGCGACATGGACTTCACCGATCTAGTGAGCGACGACGAGACCGACGTGTTGGCACCGGCTACGCCACTGAACGGGATACCGCCGCCTCCCCCTCCGCCTATGGGCGGTAGAATGCCCGGGGTACCACCTCCGGTTCCCTCAGCTCCTTTGTTCGCGCCTCCCGTCCCAAACGCACCCTTGTTTGCTCCAAAAAGTAACAGTTCGAAGAATGGCGATACTAGAATACCAGTAAGTAGTTTTTGGTTGAAATCATTGATCATACAGGGTGATTTATGGCGATGGTAGGTTAGACGTTTATGGAGAACCGTTGATATTTTTAAATTTTGGATTTTAACATAAAGACACTTGCTACATCTAAATATTTACACTTAAGTTTCACCCTGTATACTCATCCTATAACTTCGAAAAGTCGTGTCAATTTTTTTTAATCAAAAGTCCTCCCTTATATTTTAACAAGCAAATCAGTTATATCACCTATTTTTTCGCACTTATTCATTTACAACTCTGTATATTATAGTAAGTAAGTATAATAAAAGTAATTTTATATTATGTATAGGTAAAGAAAAACAAGAAGACGGTGAAGCTGTTCTGGAAAGAAGTACGGGACGACCCCATCAGTCATTCCAAACTGAAAACTGGCTACATTTGGGATGAACTAAGTGCAGTGACGGTAGATACTCAAAAACTGGAACACCTGTTCGAATCACGGGCCAAAGATTTAATTTCTAAGGTAAAGAATTTTGTTACTGCAATTTTTATATCTTTCATTTTACACTAAAATAAAATTATCATAGTATATAATTTGATTTATTATAAAACAGTAAGGTTCACAATTCATATTAATATTTTAACACAATTTTTTTAAATGGGTTATGGGATTATTTTTAGATTTAAGCATTTCTATACTGCTTTTTACTTCTGAAAATAATGTGGTTTTTCTCTTTTTTTTTTCTTCTGCTGATCCTGGGGAACACCTGACTTGGTGACCGCAGGAGGTGAGTTAATTCATTTTTTTCGGTGGTAGTATATGTCAATGTCTCTTCTCTCTTTTTGGATTGTTATCTGTCGCCCTTTCTCCTCTGTAGCCCTTGATAGCCTGGATACTTTTTTTTTGGTAAAATGTAGACCACAACCCACTATATTGTGATAAAACAGACTGTTCTACTCCTATTCTAGTTCTTAGACTATACAGCATGGTACTTTGAAGTTTGCATGTACTTTTTTCATTTAGATAGACAAAAGTCATATACAGTATCATCAATAAAGTCAGCCAAAAATGATTTTTTTCAAATCCTTGCAAGTTTTATTCTAATAATAACATAGGAAATTTTTATTCCTCATATTTAAAATTTATGTTTAGATATTTCCTATGTTTAATGTTCAGGTTAGCAATACGTGTGTTAGAAGGTATCAATATACAATAAAATACATTTGGATTTAGTAGTAAAGAACCAATTACCGATTATAATAAAACGGTGCTCAAAATTACGATTTCGTATTGATTAAAAGTTACTTCACCGATTATGTTCAATTTCTAACTTTGTTTTGAACGCCAGGATGAAAATAACCCGTGATTATGTAAGTAGAGGTGTGTAGTTCGTGAACGAACTAGTTCCAATGAACTATTCCGACCCCGGAACGAAAGGAACTAGTTCTCGGTTTCTTAAAAGACTAGTTCTTAAGGATCTATTCCGAGGACCGAGACTATGACCGAGATAGTATGTTATCGGTCCTGGACAGAGAGGAACTATACAGGGTGCTACAAATTCGAGGTACGAGCATTGGTATCTCGGTAACCGTAATAAATACGAACTGGTTAAATTAGGGCAAAGTTGCATATTGGCATGTTCACCAAGATGCCATCAAAAAAGTTTTAAAAATTTCAAGGATTGCTGAGTTTTTTGGAAAAACTGATTTTTTTGAAAATCAGTTTTATTTTTTCCTGTAGTTACTTTTTCGAAAATCAAAAAAACTAATTGCACATTCTCATAGCCACTTTATTGGGGCTATCTGACAGTATTTTTAGATTTTCAAATTAGCTGATAATTTGTGAGATACACAGGCCAACTTTATTTTTTTAAATACGGACCTGCGTTTTTTATTTCAGGTTTTGAAAGAACTCGCCCAAGTAGCATTTGGACGTTGTCTAACGTCGGGTCTACGTCGCGTTCAATAAACCCGACGTAGGGTACCAACGTCGGTTGGACCGCCTGACGACCCTTATTGGAACCTAAATGGGGAATACAGATTCGGGTCGCCTCGACGTCGGTATCTGACCTAATAAGGAATGTAATTCTACCAATTACCAACGTCACATTACGTTGGATTTTAGTCACTTAAAATTCGTCGCTAAGCACTTACGTTACGTTTGGTTTCATATTCGCTACCAAGAATACATAAAAACCTAACCAAACTACCTAATTACAAATGGATTCATAATCACTCCTCGAATATAACTATAAGTGCCTATCTAATTTCATATTATAATAATTCTGAATCATTAATCCAGACATCAGTTTTGTCAACGGAAGTCACTTTTTTTGATATATCTGATTAAAATAATCCGGAAAACAACGAGCGCCTTCAAAATTAGGTAGATTTATGAAATAAAAATATCTATAAAAAGTAACTCGCAAAATATTTTTTTTTAATTTTCTAGCTGGTTTAATCATAAACTGTACTGTGGTTCCCCCAAACTCAACCTTATCAATATTATTCTACTAGAAATCGAAATGTGAATATAAATTTTAAAAACAAAAAACGATTTTAAAATGGCTGACAATCGGATACTTGTTAAGAATGGCGGATTTCTGTGTCCGACTTAATATGAACTACTAATATACCAATTCCAACCGGGTCTCCAACATTAGTCGTCTCACACGACCGAAGTCATCAAACCGGACGACCGGCAATCGTATTATGACGTATATAATTCCAACGTACGCCACGTAACCTCACTTTGCGTATCAGTGATTTGTGGATTTGTGCAACAATATTTTAGTTTTTGTTTTCTCTTTAAAAAAAATGGACAGCCACTTTTTTAAGCCTAACCTCACATGTGGGAGGGGGATGGGGTCTGCTGGTTTCCTAAGCTAAAAAATGAAATTAAGATGCATCAGTGTAATGCAGCATCTCTTCCGGATAAAAAGCATTTATGGGTGGAGGCAAGACATCACTACTACTATTATTATTTTGCAAAAGCCTCGACCTCTTTCTGTAAAATGTAGATGAATGTCTAAGTGCCTTTTTAGTGTTTTTTAGGCATAAGTTTATTTACAAAAACTTTTTATTAGGTTATGTTCATGATGTTCATTAGGTCGCCAATGCTACTTAATGGGTTGTATTTACAGACGTAAATAGAGATACGTAAATTAGGTTATAAATATGAACATAAAATACAACAAAATATAATTGGACGTTACTTTAGGGATTATCAGTGAGACGTGTCCTATTCGGACAACGGGTAGACGTCGGGCTAGTTCAAGTATATGTACGTCGTGCAAGCCAACGTGGGAACGACGTTGGGAAATTAATAAAAATGGTACGTTGTTATTTTGTACGTCGACAGATCGTTGGATTTACCGACTCGGATCCAACGACGTCGCTTTTAATAGGAAAGCGACGTCACCGGTCGTATCACCAGCACCCGACCTAAATTTGCACAAAGACTGACGTCGCTTCAGGTCAGATTTAGTTCGAAGTCAGATAGATGCTACTTGGGCGGTCTCCTGAATACTATGATATGCCATAAATTATGCTTTTTTTTGTTTTGGATACTTTGACAGCAACAAAACTATTTAAATATTATTTAAAATAATTTAATAATTTTACCTAACTTATTGAACTTAATAAAGTCCGCCTCTGGTTTCTTAAATTATTTAATCTGATTATATTCATGGCAACAATATTGATCAGCGCAATTAACATTGAATAAGGAAAATCGATCCAATTGGAAGATTCAAATAAATAATATCCAGGTCAGAAATTTAAAGAAATTATTTTTAACTTTTTTTATTGTGAATTTGAAATCTCAGTGTGCGATCTAATAATATGCATAGGTAATATTAATCGTAGTTATTATAAATAAATCAACTTTTACGAACTAGTTTCTAATGTTCTACATGTTCGAAAGGGTTACCACCCTCCCTATTGCACAAATTTATTTTTCGCTGAATTTTATTTATAGCTCTTTGAACTTTCTTCTTATACTTCTGAACGCATTTTGTACTCTTTATTGTAAATGTTGAGATAAATTGATTTCACTTTTACAAATGACGTCAAATAATGTAGCCCCTTGGTGATAGCCCCATTTCCAATCGATCTTCTGGAAATATGATTTTATTGTTTATATTATATTATTTTGATATTAATTATTTTACATTATTTTATTGCATTTGATTCTCCGTATTCAATGTTTCACCCCACGTCATTCTTAAGCTTGAAAGCTTATCAATATTTTAACAATGGATAGATTAAATATTTAAAAAAAAAACAGAGCCGGACTTGAAATTAGTTTAAATAAATTGTGTTCAAATGTCAAAACAAAAAAATATTAAGTGTGGCATATCATTGTACTCAGGAGACCCAATTCTTTCAAAATCTGAAATAAAAAATGCAGGTCCGTATTTAAAAAAATAAAGTTGGCCACTGTATCTCAAAAATAATGAGCTAATTTGAAAATATAAAAATACTATCAGATAGCCCTAATAAAGTGGCTACGAGAATGTGTAATTAGTTTTTTGATTTTCTAAATAGTAACGACAGGAAAAAATAAAATTGATTTTCAAAAAAACTCAGCAACCTTTAAAATTTTTAAAACTTTTTTGATGGCATTTTGGTGAACCTATGTTACACCTATGTTAAATATGTTCGATACCAATGCTCGTACCTCGAATTTGTAGCACCCTGTATAAAAGACTAGTTCATGGATGGATCGCCCAGCGCGAAAGTAGACCGATGTTAGGCGGGAATGGGGAGAGCCAGCCGTATGTTATCGGTCCCGGACCGAAAGAATCGAGAAACTAATTAAAAGACTAGTTCACGGGAATTTATTCGGTCTGCAGTTTCGAGATATAATACAAGGTGATGACGACGGATCCGGCTTTGCCTATTGAAATATTTTACTTTTGGTTCCTCAAATTAAGAAATATCTTATAAAGCGAAGTAGATATTCTGACTTTTTAGACAAAAATAAAGAGCTTGAAGTGACGAAAAATGTAATTTTAATTAATAGAAAACCTTACCTTTTATTTGTCATTTAGCTTCACCTACATGTGTCAGTATTAAGTATTTTATTATTTGCTCCAATTGATTTGTGCTATAGTTTTTTAAACTCTGATCTGAGTTTCTTTTTAATTTTTTGTTCTTATCTGCAATAAAACTTACCTATCCGTTTTTCATATAAGCAATTACACGTCTCGTAATATTTCGGACATTATAAAAATTATACAGATCATGCTATGAATAGTTCTGACTTATAACGAAACCCATGAGCAAGCAACAGTGATGTCAATGTTAGTCGGGAACTAATTCAAGGAACTATTTCCTCTGGATGAACTTGAACTAAGAAACTAGTTCCTCACATAGAACTAGAATTTCCACCTCTATATATAAATATTCCTTTTTTATGTTGAACAATATAGTATTATTGAAAGACAAGAAATTTTTACATTGAAAAAGATGTCAATTTCACAAATAACAATGTCAAAACTAGTAAATCTATAAGAAAATAAAGAAAAAACGGCAAAAAAATCACGTTTTTGAATTGACATAATTTGCTAAAAATTTTGGATTGATCAGTACCAATCACTAATACAAAAGACCTCTAACACAGTATTGCCACCTATTCCAGGCATTGTTCATCGCTCTGTACTTCATTGAATGATATTGTATAGTATGTATATTATTCAATATCCTGTGACGTTTTTCAACTAACCCCTCATGTTTACAATACGTTTAATGTAATATACTAAACGAATTTACTTATATTACATTCGACTTTTGCTTGATATAGAAACAGCAAGAGTTGAACAAGAACAAAGAAATCATCGTGTTGGATCCCAAGAGATCGAACGCGATCAATATCGGAATGACGAAGTTGCCTCCTCCCAGATCAATTAAAACGGCCATTTTGAAAATGGACGCTACCATTATGAACAGGGAAGGCATAGAGAAGTTACTAACGATGCTACCAACGGAAGAAGAGAGAACAAAGATACAAGAAGCCCAAGCTGGTAAGTTTAACACTTTAGTTAAAATTCTTTGGCAATAAATTGGTGTTCAGATGCACCATAAAAAAAACGGTATACAGTATTTATGAATAAACATTATGATTCATTTTGATATTTTACTTTCTAATCTGTTTAATTTGTGAATTTCCAGCAAACCCCGACCTGCCTCTAGGAAGCGCCGAACAATTTCTACTAACATTGGCATCGATCTCAGAACTACCTGCCAGATTGAAATTGTGGGCGTTCAAGTTGGACTTCGAAAACTCCGAACGGGAAATAGCCGAACCTTTGATGGACCTGAAGCAGGGCTTCGAGGTTCTTAAGATTAACAAGACCTTCAGGGCGATACTCAGCACTCTGCTCTCCGTCGGAAATTTCTTGAACGGCAACGAGGTGAAAGGGTTCCAGATAGAGTACCTTACCAAAGTACCTGAGGTGAAAGATACCGTTCACAAACATTCGTTGCTTCATCATCTTTGTCACATCGTTATGGAGAAGTTCCCCGAAGCTACGGATTTGTATTCTGAGGTTAGTTAATTTAGAGATTTTTCTCTGATTTTATCTCACAGAAAATTTACGTTCAAATTACATCTAACGTTTTTTTTGAGATTACCATCGGCCTATTCCGACCTGTAACCAGGGTTCGGAAAACTACATGTTACTTTTAAAAACTACATAAACTACATTACATGTATTTAATGTAGTTTATGTAGAGGGTGTAGTTTATGTAACCTATGTATGTAACTTTCAAATATCAAAGGTTTGAGGTGAGGTTATAATCAGGGTTCGGAAGTAGTTAATTAAGACGTAATTTACCTGATTAACTACGTGTAGTTTTTCTTCTAAAACTACGTCTTTTCCCGTTCATTAACTACATGAAAACTACGTTAATAAAGTATGTATTGATATTATAAATAATTTTCCTTTGTATGAGGTGTAATAGAGATAATATGATGTAAATATTATATTTGAAGCCATATTTCTTCTGTTTTCTTAAATACATTATGTGTTTTTAAAGCTTCAACTTATTATAACCTCACCTCAAACCTTTGATATTTGAAAGTTACATACATAGGTTACATAAACTACACCCTCTACATAAACTACATAAACTACATTAACAACATGTAATGTAGTTTAGTAGTTTTTAAAAGTAATATGTAGTTTTCCGAACCCTGGTTATAATAAGTTGAAGCTTTAAAAATACATAATGTATTTAAGAAAACAGAAGAAATATGGCTTTAAATATATTATTTACATCATATTATCTCTATTACACCTCATACAAAGGAAAATTGTTCAAAATATCAATATATAGTTTATTAACGTAGTTTTCATGTAGTTAATGAACGGGAAAAGACGTAGTTTTTGAAGAAAAACTACACGTAGTTAATCAGGTAAATTACGTCTTAATTAACTCCTTCCGAACCCTGCCTGTAACCTGTTTAGACTTGTTTAGAATTGTGGTCCTATTCTGATAACTACATTCTACAGTCCTATTACAATTTCATTGGTATGTTAGTATATGACATAAATTAAGATTGATTGACGTATTTAATTGTTTTTGGTCACTTCCTGTTTCACCGGAAATGACTACAACTTTTAATTTTTAAATGACACTCTCGGATTTTTTTACTCTATTCGATAGAAAATGACACTCTGAATAGACCATATGTCAACTTTTGACATTTTCGCATTCACATTTGAAATTGTAACATTCATAACGACAATTTGACTCAAAATACCAAGTGTGTGGTACCAAATTATTCGCAAAAAATGCTTTTTCCAAATATGCCAATGAGTCACCCTTGTTCCATTTGAAAAAATTGAGATATGATTAAAAATACGATTTGGGTATCTTTTAACTGGCCAGAGCAAGACACGAAAAATATTAGACGATCAAATCTATTTTCCCAAGGGTCCTTGATTAAAAATTGATTAAAAATTAGTGTTTTTAACACAGCCATGGCACTCTAGATTGTAATTTAAAATACAATTTTTTTTAAAGCGAAAATTTCAAAAGTTGACATATGATATGTCATTCTATTCAGAGTGTCATTTTCTATCGAATAAAGTAAAAATATACCGAGGGTGCCATTTAAAAATTAAAAGTTGTAGTCATTTCCGGTGAAATAGAAAGTGACCAAAAACAATTGAATACGTCAATCAATCCTAATTTATGTCATATATTAAAATACCAAATGTCGTTTTTTTTATCTGAAAAAATAAAAAAAGTTTTAGGGGCTTTCAGACGCACACTTTTGAGACGCACCCGGTATACTATCCTTGTTTATATATTCTCATATACAAGTATACTATTATATATAGCATCAGCATGTTTTCCTGTGTCACTCAGTTAGTAAATAAGTGAAGTAATAGATAAATTATTGGAGTCAGTGCTTTTTTTATATGTTGTACAGGATTCGAGTCGTGAGTAAACGATAAATTTCATTATTTCATTTGTTTTGCGAATTATGAAAATTTTTTAAATAAATAGGTTTTATGAAATCGTAAAATACACAATATAAAATTATTTTTTTTTTAATTTTACTAAACCCTTTAACTTTTATTTAATATATCACATACCTATTTTTAATTGTTGACGATTTGACCTAACCAAAAATTATTTTTTTTCATTTTCAAACTAAAATTACTCGGTTATTTTAAAATTATTTGAAAAACGTAAAGAAAAAATATGTTTCCTTTATGGAGATATACGAACCCTGAAAATATTTGCACTTATTTAAGACTCACCCTGTATCATCAATGCTTTTGGCGTAGAGATATTTAATTATGAAATACTCGTTTTCTGTTTATATGAAGATCCCGAAACTACACCACCCAAGTAGCATTTTCACGACTTGCGACCACATATTTACTAAACACAACGTTGGATTAGTTACAAAAAATAGTTAGCTCCCTACCTTGGTTATTAAAATAAATGTAAACGTTGTTGTAACGTTGTGCCGACGTTGGACTAGTACTACAACAAAGTAAAGGCTTCTGCGACGTCGAATATACGTTGTCTTGTAACTTTTTTTGCTTAAGTAATCTTTATAGGTGATTCGGACAACGTAGTTACAATGTTGGGCAATAAAGAGTTTTCCGACGTCACTTTCAGGACCTATTCCAACGTTATGCAAACGTCGTCTGTTTTACTAATTCCAACGTTCTTTAGATATTCTTATTTTTACGTTGGTAGGACGTCGAGCCACTACCTTTTTGCAACTGTATTGAACCATAACCTTAAATCTTAAATTTTCACTTCATTGTTCTGTTAAGTCAGACAGTTCGGTGCTGTTTTTGTTTTTATAAAAAAAAACTAATTAAAATGGGACATCAGAAAGTTACAGTTCGTCTGCTGGATCTGTGTCTATGAAAGGAATGCGGACAAAAAGCATTTAAATAAACAGCAATATATTTTATACGGCGACTTGACGAGTACGTCACCGCAAATCGCTCCGCCCACTCATTTTATTGGCTACTTACAAATTTGTCGATTTTTTATTGTTGGGACGCGTCGTCTAATTTTTTACGAAAAGCATCGAGAGAATATCGTTTCCCCTCTCACGGATACCCCGTAGCTACAGAACGGACAGACGTACTGTACATATAAAACTAATTTTAAATATACATCGACATATTAACGATACTTTATCCACTCCCTCGTTTATTTAGAATATAGAGGGCGGCACAAGCTAGACTCTAGGATGACTAAATTAGGCAATCCTGCGACTAGTATACTACCTGTTAAGGCTGAACTGCGACTTTATTAGTCCAGTATGCGACTACTCGAACTACTCCATCTTAATCTCCACTTATCAAATGATTATCAAAAAGTTTTTCAAACTATAATCATATTTTGTTATGTGTTTTAATTAGACAATTCCTTTTGTTTGTGGCCCTAAAAATATAATGTAAGTCTTTTATTTTTGCTATCATTTAAGTACATATTTATATTTACTCCATTTACAAAACTTTGGGCGTATTAAGTTGGCCTTGTTTTATTATAATAAACGATGTTTAAATATTTGACTTATTAATAAAAACTTTAAATAATAAATAATATTCACACATGTTTGGCTCTAATTTTTTTTAATAATTGTATTAATTATACTGTTAAATCTTATTTTTTACACATCACAACGATACTTGTTATTAGTATTGTTGAATTTGTGTACAAAATAAGATTTAATAATCAAATTTAATTATTTTAGAGTAAAATTCGATAAATACGCTCATTTAAGAAGCCCGCGCTTCGATCCACTTAAAACAAGCCCTACTCAATAGATGGCGCCACTTCTGTAGGACCATTTTTCAGTATGGCAGAGTCCATTCTTTTTCTAGCTAGGTATATTCTTTGCACTCTAATAGAGATGGCTTTAAGTTCTGAAATATCGGATATTTCTGCTTGAATTGATTATGGGAGTGATCAACTTTTGGGCTTAAAACCATATCTGCTAGAGTAATTGTCCAGTAGATAATAATAATAAATATCAAAGAATATACCTAGCTAGAAAAAGAATGGACTCTGCCATACTGAAAAATGGTCCTACAGAAGTGGCGCCATCTATTGAGTAGGGCTTGTTTTAAGTGGATCGAAGCGCGGGCTTCTTAAATGAGCGTATTTATCGAATTTTACTCTAAGATAATTAAATTTGATTATTAAATCTTATTTTGTACACAAATTCAACAATACTAATAACAAGTATCGTTGTGATATGTAAAAATAAGATTTAGCAGCATAATTAATACAATTATTAAAAAAAATTAGAGCCAAACATGTGTGAATATTATTTATTATTTAAAGTTTTTATTAATAAGTCAAATATTTAAACATCGTTTATTATAATAAAACAAGACCAACTTAATACGCCCAAAGTTTTGTAAATGGAGTAAATATAAATATGTACTTAAATGATAGCAAAAATAAAAGACTTACATTATATTTTTAGGGCCACAAACAAAAGGAATTGTCTAATTAAAACACATAACAAAAAATATGATTATAGTTTGAAAAACTTTTTGATAATCATTTGATAAGATTATGATGACAACTATGACAACGACAACGACAATATTTTTTGAGAATTTGACAATAGTATGACAATGGCCGTTGGAAACTATGGAAACTACAAAAAAAATTCTGATTTGACGCCATCTGGCAATAACTAGTAACAACTTCTTAACCTAAAAATTAATTGTACTACCACCTAGCGCCTGAGGCTGGAACTATTTTATTTGAAATTTCCGTGGAAACGGTGGAACCGCTTTTGCTATTTCACTTTCCCACCCCTGAATAAATATGATGTTTCAAAAACAGTGACATTAGAAAAACCATAAAAACTATTTTTTATAGTTCTGTTGATTAGCATCAAAGGTAAAGGCATGGTTTTAATGTAAAAATTACGAAAAAATAAATGTTAGCGTCTTCTTCAAAACCGAATTTCTCAAAAAAAATAAAGCTTTTAAGATGAACAAAAAACAAACTATCGACAAAAAATGCACCTTGATGATAAAATTATTGTTAAATTCCTTGCTTTGTTAACGAACTCTAC